AATAAAGTCATTTCAATGCATTCTTATAGTAAAATCATTTCAATGCATTCTTATAATAAAGTCATTTCAATGCATTCTTATAGTAAAATCATTTACAATGCAATTATAATAAAGTCATTTCAATGCATTCTTATAGTAAAATCATTTACAATGCATTCTTATAATAAAAATCATTTCAATGCATTCTTATAGTAAAATCATTTCAATGCATTCTTATAAAAAGTCATTTCAATGCATTCTTATAGTAAAATCATTTCAATGCATTCTTATAATAAATCATTTCATTCTTATAATAAAGTCATTTCAATGCATTCTTATAATAAAGTCATTTCAATGCATTCTTATAGTAAAATCATTTCAATTTCTTATATAAAAATCAAATGCATTCTTATAGTAAAATCATTTATATTCTTATAATAAAGTCATTTCAATGCATTCTTATAAAAAATCATTTACAATGCATTCTTATAATAAAGTCATTTTCAATGCATTCTTATAGTAAAGTCATTTACAATGCATTCTTATAATAAAGTAAAAAATGCATTCTTATAGTAAAATCATTTTCCAATGCATTCTTATAATAAAAATCATTTCCAATGCATTCTTATAGTAAAATCATTTACAATGCATTCTTATAATAAAGTCATTTCAATGCATTCTTATAGTAAAGTCATTTACAATGCATTCTTATAATAAAGTCATTTCAATGCATTCTTATAGTAAAATCATTTCAATGCATTCTTATAATAAAATCAAATGCATTCTTATAGTAAAATCATTTACAATGCATTCTTATAATAAAGTCATTTCCAATGCATTCTTATAGTAAAATCATTTACAATGCATTCTTATAATAAAGTCATTTCCAATGCATTCTTATAGTAAAATCATTTACAATGCATTCTTATAATAAAGTCATTTCCAATGCATTCTTATAGTAAAATTATTTGCAATACATTCTTCTTCTAAAATCATTTATAATGAATTCCTATGGTAATAGTAAAATTAATTGTTTCTACATAGGAAATATTCAATCTTCATTGATTGAACCATTAGTTTTATTGCTGATTGAAGGTTTTAAAAAATTTTTACAAAATTCGATTTGTCATGTCTGTTAAATGTCATAGCTCTTTCTAAAAATATTAATTCCTATCATAAAAATCATTTCTATTTAATCATTCTTATAGAAATCTTATTTATAAATCATTCTTATTGTAACGATAAAAGGCAAGGAAATATTCAGCTTTCATTAACTGATCAATGTTTTCTCTCAGTTGAAATTTATAAAGTCATTTTCTTAAAATAGTTTCTAAGGAAATTAAACCTCAACTTCTGTTATCACTCTTTCTAGCATAGACAGCAGTTTCCTTCCAAACCTTTTGTTTTTGGTATTATGGGAAACTAACAGCTTGATTATAAAATTAATTTTTCATCCAGTTATATGTGCTATCCATTCTTGTTATTACTGCTGTTGGAAGTGCCTTCAATATTATGAATTTGTGTCAGATGTATATCTGACATTTACTACAGGGTGATGGTTCACAAGCAAGTCTCAGTGAGTCCAATATTCAATGTATCAGAACTATTGTTTTATTTCGTCAATAACAGCAGTGAAACATCAGTCAGAATAAAAGGGAAATAACTCTTTTTAATTGTTTCGATTATTTCCCTTTATAAAAATCTTTATATGCGCCGTTTCCCTTCGAAATGTAGGCGATTATAGCCCGCCACATCTTCCTGTCCCTTGTAGATCTTAATGTTATATCTTTCCTTCAATCCGTTCCAAGAGTATCAGACTTTCTAAGCCTTCCTTCCTTATTAGGTGCCCCCAAAATTTAAACTGCCTCTCCCTGATGGTTTCCTCTTTGTTTCCATATTCTCCAAAACCTCGTCGTTGCTCCCATGTAAGGTCCGTGTTATTCTCAGCATCCTTCTGTAGAACCACGTTTCTGTTGCTTCAAGTCTCTTCTTCATCTTTGACGGGAGTGTCCAGCATTCGCTGTCATACAGGAGGACAGATATCACGTTATAATTAAAGTTATGCAGAATGAAAAAGTTCTTCACATAAATTTTACATAAATGCACATGAGTAACATAAAAGACACTTGAAAATTATTTTATTACATAATTTAATTTTATTATAACTTGTAGGTGAATAGATTGTTTTTCTTATACTCGTCGGCGGTAACCAAAATGTTCACTCTCATCATAGCAACAGAAATTAGCTTGTGTTCACGGAGATAAAAGTATATTTGACAGAAAATAAAACGTACAGAAATAACAGGAAAGCATGGTAAATTGTATGCTAATTTTATACAATTTTTTTATATTTTTGTATATATTGGTGTGTGTATGTTTAGGTTTCAATTGTTTTATGGTACATGTGATAAAAGGGAGGGTTTATACCATAGTATTACAAACCATATCACAGAGAGAAGTCGGACACGTGTTGCCCGTACCAAGGTTCGTAGTGAAGAGAGTTAATTTAACGTCTTATGACGGGATGTCCGTATTTCCTGCGGAAACAATTTTTGTTGCATGCTGGGAGTATTTTTATTATTTTTAATTTTTATTTAATTTATTTACTACAACGTTTTTATGTTACTGTTTTATTTTATCAATAATTTTCATTATTATTTTATATTTTATTTTTATTTATTTATTATTATTATTAAAATAATATTCCTACAAACTAAAATATAAATAACAACAGAGTTGTAAAACTGTGATCCCTTAGATTGAACTTGTGATCCCCACCCCCAATTCCCAAATTTTTCAGTGGCCCTAACCCTAACCCTATAAAATTTACCACCACGGGGTTAAAGGATGTAAACGCTTTAATTTTATCCCCTATTTCTTTAGTTTAATTTTCCAGCCCCTCCCTTATTAGATGACAGGGATTTAATTCTTTAGTTGGTACAGGCACCTTCTGTTTTTTGCCTTCGTAATTTTTTTTACTGATGTTCACCAAGTACAAAGCCCAAAAGCCACTCAAGGTAGAGGACTATAGAAGGAGGTTGTATGAGCGGTAAAAGTAAGAAGTAATGTTTGATTTAAATTCAGTAAGAGGTAAGAACTGCTGTAGTATAGGTTGGAAAAATAACGGTTAAGAGGTTGAACTTGAAGTTGTTAACATTGTAGGGAACAGGAAAGCATCCTCTCGGGAGTCTACTCCACAAAGTAGCAGTTCTTGTGAAGAAGCTGTCCGAGTAGAACTTCCTTCTTACCAATGGAATACAAAGAGAACGGATCGTTAGTTAAAGTGTACTTGTCACGGCGGGTCCTATCCCGGTCTTGTTTTAGATGAAGGGAGCCCCTAGGCTATTCCACTTGTGACGCCCTTCCAAATCCCCCATTCTCACGATTAGAAGAAAATGGAAGTGTGTTAAATTAATCAATTGGAGTAAATCCGAGAATCATGACTTTTCTTCTGATTGTACATACTTGTAGAGGAATGCACGTCGTTTTAATAAAAATAAAATCGACGTTTGCTTAAAGAAATCTGTCGTTTTTGCCGCCTCATTGTCTCGGCTATACACTTTGCTTCTAACGCTCGAATTAGCTTGCAGGGTCGACGTCTTTATCGACCCCGCAACAGGTCAGTGATTGTGACTAGTTAAAGATAGGACAAGTGAAGATGCAACTTTCTCGTCCCCATTTTGGCCTTGTGCCATATTATCTGTAAAACGATTTACTAAATAAATAAATGTAATTTACATGTGGTACAAGACTGTGGGTTACCAGTTATAGTGAAGTGTATGAATGTTGAAACAGATTAGTTTGAGTTGGCCTTGTTAGTTAGATATCCCACTATAAGAAGGGTATAAAACAAGAAAATCAAATTGTAAAGTGAAACAACAAATTTATATTCATATAAATCAATTTAGGTCTTTACAAAGAAAATTAATGTATTTTGGTTGATACAAGGTCATCAAAATGTTCGTAGTAGTCCTTGCAAGAATGAATTTGTGATGTGTACATAAGTAGGAACGTATGTGTGGATGTATGTATGTATGAGCGTTATCGTAGTATAGGAATGTCTTTGAAGTAATCGCTCAGTCTTAAAATGTTCCGTTCAAGTATAAAAGAGGTGAGGGAGAAAGGTAGAGATAATAATAACGATCGCTTGACGTTCGTCAAGGGACGTGTTAATACGTTCGTCTCCTTCTCTCTGGTGACAGGCGAACTTTCCCGTCTTTTTGTTTGTGGGACTTGAAAAGCTCATATAAGAATTCACCCCCGGGTATGATTCGGGCCTTTCCATTGGACGACGAACAAACTTCGCGAAGTTCGTAAAAGAATTTGTTTCTGAGAATTGAAGATTATTTGAATTTTGTTTTTAAATGTTTCCTAGTTTTCTATTGGCCGAAAAACATTTCGCATCAAGGTGTGAAATTTCATGAGTTTTGTTTTGGATTCACTTTTGCGTGTGTGTTATGCAAAGTTTGTAAATTCGAGTCTTTTTAATTTCTAACAAAATCAATGCGTCTGTGCTTAGCATTTGAATTTTAAATCAAGATCTTGTTTTGTTCACTACAGACTGAAAGTATAGAGCACCCAGTGAGGATCGAACCTACTACTGAGTCTAGTATTTTTACAGCAATTGTGGCACCAAGCCAAAAAGGGAGAAATGGGTTGAGGCTGGTCTACACACTAACTATCCTATTTTACGGCCCATTATTAAATTCAATTCAAAACAATTTGTTCTTCTTCATTCACCACAAAAACTCATCCCTCGTCATTCAATCCTTTATATACTACAAATTCACAGGGAACCTACGATACACCCCATGACATAAAAAAATTCTTTGTGTATAAAATTATACATAAAAATTTATCGAGATTGAACTCAGCAACTGATTTAGCAAGATTAACTTGCTAAACAATATTGACACCACGTCAATTACAGAAATAAATAGTCAGGTAATCGAGTTATCTCCCTTGCTTTAGTGAGCTTTTCAGTTGAGGAAAAACAAAATAAGACGATAGAGTCGGTAACAATGGCCAGCGGCGTGAAAAGGCAATCTGATCAAAAGTTAGAAAATGTTGAAGAAGTTCCCAAGGCGAAAACTTCGACCGGTGAAGTACAAGATGCCATTATTTCAGCTTTTGTCCAGTGGTGCAATGATCGTAACTTTCAAATCAGTCCTAAAGTACGTAAATATCTCTTTGAAAGAAAAAGCTCATTCTGCTTTTAGCTTTTCTTTATCACTAGTGTTTGTTTATCTTTTATTAGGTATAAAATTTACGATACCTAAGGTTTAAAATGAATTTTTAAAAATGAAAACGCATTCTTGAAGATTTCTTTTTGCCTTAATTGAAAGCTAAAGGATTAAATTGACTATTTCCAGTAACTAAAATATTTGGGTGTATTACAAAGAAATTATTTAGTTATTAGTCGTAAGTCGTACTGATGACAAGAGGCGGGAATGTTTCTATTTTGTTAACAAAAAAGAAAATGTGCTATTTTATTTGCACATTCTATTTTTATTCTACCTAACCTCATACTCGGGGGATAAACTTTTTAAAAAAATAAACGTTAATTTTTTAAATTTTGAATTTCTTAATTAATGTTGTTTTTTTTTTTGTTTTTTTGTTTTTTTTTTGTCCATTATTATGTGAGTTTAGGTTAAAAAAAAAATAAAGAAAAAATCCAATAGTTTTATATCTATTTCTAAAAATGAAATAATTTCTCCAAGACATAAATTTGAGAATTGTAGAAAAAAAATAAAATAGTAAGAGTACAGATTTCATTTGAAAAAGACTTTCTTTTATTAAATTTCTGTTTTTTTGTGTTTAAATTTCTTTTCTTTATTAAAATTAAATTAATTGTAATGAGTGTTAACCCGGCATTGGAGGGGGGGAAAGGCGTTCAAATTGTATAAATTTAAACTTAAAACGTCGTTAATTTGAATTAATTTTTTTTTTTTTTTTTTCATTTAACAGCGTTTTTTTTTTTTTTGTTGTTTTTTGCTTTGTTTTTCTTTGTCATGTTTTATATTTAAATTTGAAGAAGATAATGATTTCTGTAGCTGTCAACTGTTAAAACTTGGAAAATGTAAAAAACTCTCCTCCAATTGCATGTAAAAAAAAAAAAAAAAAAATATATCATCTGGACATTAAATGTTTTTAGAGGACTTGTGAAGAAAAAAAAAAACAGTAATTATTTTTGCTCGGATCCATTGATGATTATGTTCAATAATTCGCCGAAAAAACAGCATAGCATGGTGAAAAAAGGCCCCCAAACTTAAAAACCAAGTTTTATCTTGAAAAAGTTTGTTATTAGGAAAGACCAAAGTATTTTTAATTATTTTTTCAAATTTCTTAATTCTTTTTAGCACGTTTGAAATTTTGGTTGAAAATCTTTTTTGGTCAAATGTTGCGTAGTTGTTTTTTTTTGTTTTTTTGTTAGCGCTATTTTTCAGTTGAAAAACATTTGGAAATTCTTGCAAAAATTAAATTATTGTCGGATTTTAATGAAACTTTCAGAACTTATTCAGAAATGAATGAAATTATTTTAGAGATATTTGTTCTTTAGAAAGTCATGGTAAAAATATTTTTTACATCTGTTACAAACTGAGGTTATGACATCCATGTGTAGTGGATCTAAGAAGGATGCGTGAATATTGAAGATTGTGCTACAAATAAAATATGCAATAAGAAATGGCCAAATGGTAACGATATTCAATTACAACAAAAAATACGTTTGAAACAACAGATTAAATTTTATATACACAATTTACAATTTCTTTGTTTGTAATGATGTGTTCAAAGGTATATAGAGGAAAAGTTCTTTGCTGTTTCGGAAATGTTCAATGTCTAAAAAGTTGTCTACCTTTGATTGAAAGGTTGAATTTAACTTAGACAAAAGATTTTTCTATGAAAGATATTAAGTGAAAAAGTTTGTTGTATGAATTTTTCTAATCTCTCATAAAGAAAGTTTGTTTCTTTGGCGCCAATTTTGACACATAATTCCCGTGTGTATCTTTGCGTGTGTGAATCTCAAAATGCGACGAAAATTTGTTTGCTGTTTCTATTTATAGTTTTTTTTTTTTTTTTTTTTTTTTTAAACAACGAAATCGGCTCCAGCGGCTTGGTAGCTTGTTGCGAATTTTTCTGAGAAATGTGTGGGCGAATGTTGTATTTTTTAATGTTGTATTTTTAAGATTTTTTTAATGTCAGTTGAGCCTATTTTTGCACAAATTTTGACTGTTTTGTTATGGAAATTTCTCAAAGCTTATTTTTATTTAAAAACCAATGAAATTCAAGAAAATGTTTGAAAATTGAAATGATGGTTACTAAACAATAACATTTATATCGGAATTAGACAGCACAAGTTAATAATTTTCGGAACAGACAGTAATGGAGTAAATGAAATGGTTTTGTCATCAACATCAAATGGAAGCATAACGATATAACATTCATAGACATTTACAAACAGGACTAATGAACTTAAACTAACCAGTGTGGTTCGAAAGTCTTGTCACCTCCTACAGTTTGGAAGGAATGTAACAGGTGGGTGACACTATTTTCGGACCGCCCTGTACACTGATTTGCAGTGTGCCTTCAAGTCGAAACATCTCTCATGAGGATGATTTATATTGTTAAAATTGCATATGCACATGTTTTTACTTTTCTCTTTTTATTTTGTCAGCATTTTATTTACAAAGTTGTATAAAATAGCCTGATAAAATTTAAAACAAAACTAAAATATATAAAAGATAAAGACACATGTTAATGACCAAATTAAATTGAAATACGAATCTAACTCCATTTACCAAAATGAGCTGTAAAATTTCAATTGTTTAAAAAAAAAAAAAAAAAAAATTTCCTCCTGAAACAATAAAATCTATTAGAATATTTTCTTTTTATTCAATGTCAGGGGAAATAACTCTGTTAAAACCTCAATCCCTTGCAAATTGCTTTGATTTTTTTGTCTTAAAGTACAGATATATTTTTTCCCAGCATTTATAAATAAACTAGCTTAAAAGCCACCCTATCGGGCGGCATTTAAGCTAGCTCCTGCAGAGGGCTCTTGATTAGGTCTTCACCACAATAGGTAGTGAGGAGTAGATGTGATAGGCAACAATAAACTACAGAATAACTCAAAAGTGATCGCTACATTCAAATGTTGCATTAATATTTAAGCTTACCTTTAAAAAGTTCAGCAATAATTCTCCTGCTGCCACATAATTTAAAGACGGACAAATATTTTTATTTCATGATTGACTTCTGCTGGATTTTACAATTAATTTCAATTATTCCCAAATTTATTTCCACGTTATTGTTACCATACAAAAAAATTTGTCGCAAAAAATCATGTAAAAAAAACAAAAAAAAAAACAAACAATCAATCACAGTAATGAAAACTTATGAATCCAAAATTTCAGGATTGTGGCTATAGATCCGGGCTGGAATGTTTTTAATTTGTTCACAGAGTTGCCCTCATTCCAAAATGGTATTATCTGTTGGGCTACAGCCTCTAGAAGTAAAGTTGAAAAAGTGTGACACAATAACATTCACATTTATTAAAAATAGATGTTTGCCAAATTATGTAAAACTTTTTTCTTAAAACTAAGTACCTTCAAACATTCATAAAAAAAGGGACGATACACAATGGAGAAAATGCACAAATAACAAAATAAAAATAAAATTTTATCATCAAAATCTGTTATTATTATGAGGAAAGACAAAAGGATTTTTTTTATATAAAAATTATTTTTAACACTTTTTAGAAGCTTCAAAATTTGGGTTAAAAATTGTTTATCTGCATATTTTTTCAAGAATTTAAAAAAAAATTTTTGAATAACTTACAAACATTCTTATCTTTTAGAATTCTGTGTCAATTTACTCCTCCAGTGATATTATTATTGAAACTATTAACTAATGATAAATGAAACTATTAACTAATGATAAATGAAACTATTAACTAATGATAAATGAAACTATTAACTAATGATAAATGAAACTATTAACTAATGATAAATGAAACTATTAACTAATGATAAATGCTGCTCCATGACACACCATCATGGGGTGCAACAATCGCTCAGTGATTGGCAAATTTATTGACGGGACTGGGAGTGAACTGCAAGCGAAATGTTCCACTTCCAATATTTTCACAAAAAAAAAACGTGTAAAACTCTCACCAAATTACCTAGACCGAATTTAACCAAACTTATTTAGATGTGAAAATTTGGTTAGCGTAGGCCAAAATTATAACACATTTATTGGTGAAAATGTCTGGAAATTAAATCAAAAAAAAAAATTGGTGAAATAGGACCTAAAATCCTTTTATTTACTGTCCACAGATATTTATTTCATTAACAGCGTATCATGAATTATTTTGGCGATGATGCTCAGTAGTTCTTCAAATATGCACAGTGTGGACAGAAGTGCATGTCAGCCAAAATGTGAAATGTGTAGAATGAACAAAAAAAAAATGTTGTTTAATTCTGTTTTTCCTCGGTTGAGGCCAGATTGAAAACTAATCTATATTAATGTTTTAAGATGTATTCCTGGGACAGTAAACACAGCATTTCTATGTAAAGTGATAATAATGGTAATTTTTCTCCTCACCTCAATTGGTAGATCATAGCATTTTAATGAATATATAAAACATTTAGACATAATGATCTCATTGTAACTCGGTGCTGTATATTCCCATATACAAGGTTTTGATGTGAAAAGATTCACAAGTTTTATGGCACAATTTTGGTTGTCAGTTGTGATGATGATAAAAGCTTTGCAAGGTGTAGTCAGTTGTGATGATGATAAAAGCTTTGCAAGGTGTAGTCAGTTGTGATGATGATAAAAGCTTTGCAAGGTGTAGTCAGTTGTGATGATGATAAAAGCTTTGCAAGGTGTAGTCAGTTGTGATGATAAAAGCTTTGCAAGGTGTAGTCTTCACTGCAATATTATTATTATTTATATGATTCTACTATACTGAGAAATTCAATGAAGGTCTATGAATGGAGAACCATGCACTCCTGCTGAGAATATAGGGAAAAATGCTTTATTGCAACATATATATATTCGGCTGTTATGTTTGGATAGATTCTAATATAGACCCCTTTTTGCTGATTTCAGTCTTCACAGTGGAACCGTGTTGCTGTGCTATGGCGTTATCATGCTAAGGCTCCAACAATAAACACCCGTATGAGACAAGCTAACCTCACAATCTTTATATAACTGAGGGAGCAGTTATACTTTTATTTCAGGCAGAAATTTTATGAATGGAGTGACATGGGCAACAAAAGAAGAAAGAATCTGGTGCAGAAGGAAGAAATCATAGGAAAAGAGAACACAAAGATCTACAGAAATCCAGTCATGAAGCTTTTAAAAATGTCATATCCAGATGGGGATGGTGACAATCGTGCTGTGTCCCCCCCCCCCAGGCTCTGACGACACAGGCACAGCACCAGGATTAATGGATTGTTGCCAATCTGATGAACATGCACAATATGATGAAACTAAATATGTTGTATTAACCAAGAAAGATGTAGGTTGGTTTAATTTTGATGTAAATTTGTGATAAACCACAAATTTCTGATGATTTACTCATATAAATGGTGAAGATTGGTGCTAAGGCTTTTCAGAACAAAGATGGCCCTTTTGAAAGTTACGAAAGACCAGGAAGTTATTGAGAGTTGATGTGTCGAAGAAACAATGAGAACTGAAACGAGCACAAAACGTGGGTGTCAACTCCAGTTTCATGAATTACTAGTTTCAAAGAAAACTGCAGGATGGGTCTACGGTACTGAAAAAAAAAATGATGCAGTTTATTATTATTATTATTTTTGCTGTTTATTGTTTACAACAGCTGCAGTCAATCAAAGCACAGTGTTCGAAAAATCTTGTGGATTTCAAAAATGGAAAAAATGCAACAAAATACCAGACCATGAACAGGGCACACATCACCATGCGTCATTTCTTGCATGGAAAGACTTTGAGATCAGAATGTTCTACGATTGACAGAGTAATATTGAAGCATATGAAGGAAAAAAACCAATTGTAGAAGGATCTGCTCATGTATTTTGTGGATTGTATCAAGTTTTTGGTGACTCTCAGCATTTGACATTTCGTGGCATCACTTGGATTATGTCAAATTGCGTCCACATTCTCTGACATTTTTGTGAAGCAAGATACAGAATGAGTTCATTGACCTACTGGGCAACAAAGTACGTCAATCTATCCTACAGAGAGTCAAAAGAAGCAGATACTATGGGATTATGTTTGACACAACTTTTGACGTTTCTCACAACAAACAAATGTCTGAGATTCTCAGGTTTGTCGATGTTGACAACGAATCTAAAACTGCTATAGTCAAGGAAGTATTCATTGATTTTTATTAAAAATCGTAAAAAAAACACCAAGAATGTTACAGAAGAAATTACCTCAAAATTGAAACCAGATGGTCTTGTTTTGAACGACTGTTGTGGTTAGACATATGACAATGCTGCAACAATGGCTGTGAAGGTGTCCAGAAACTCATATCTTAGAGAAGCCCAAAGGCAATCTTTGTGAATTGTGACAACCATTTTTTGAACTTCATAGGAGTGCACACAGCATCAAAGCACGTGTTTGCTATATCATTTTTTTGAGTTCTTGATTCATTGTTCAATTTATTCCCCAGCTCGGCAATGTGGTGGGGAAAAATTGAAGGAGACAGTAGGGATAGCTGTAAAGTGGTTCCTTGATACAAGATGGAGTGCTAGGTGCAATGCTATTGACATTGTAAAAACAAAGTTGGATGGCAGCTAAATTATTGGAACATATGGCAAGTGACACTTCAGTATCAATTGACACAAGAAGCGACACCAGCTGCTTTGCTTCACAACCTGCAAACTTTCAGCTTTCTAATAATGCAGTCATTCTGGGACAAAGTCCTAACTTTCATTGACCGAGTACAGAAGAAACTTCAGTGCCCCAGAATGAACTTGAATGTAGTTCAAGTTGACGTTCAAAGTCTGCAACAATCTGTTATGAGTGAACTGGATTCTCTCTGTAAAATAATTGCAAAAGCCAGGAAAAATCCTTAGAATCGGATATTGATGTTGGGTAACAGAAGAGTGCATCATAAAAAAAAAAAAAAAAAAAAAAGAATGGCTGGAAAGGAGATGAAAGATGAGCTTCTAAATGTGAGAGAAGATATGGATGTTACCTTGAAGGCAGTACTGGAAAAGGTTGAATACAGAACTGAAAGATTGATTTACAAGGTTGAGTCTGTTACATGAGCAATTTGGGTTCCACTTGGATATTGAAAGCCTCATTGACTCGAATGAAGACACGGTAGAAAAATGCAAAGTAGCTGTTGTAGCATACAAGGGTTATTTTGATGACTCGGTCAGAAATTAAAGACTGCCAAGTGTTAATACTAAAAAGAAAAAGACATTGCCTTTGTTAAACCAAAAACCTCAGTCAAGCTATTCAACTTTGCAATATCTTACAGCGATGTGTTCACTAATTTACAAATAGCATTGCACATATACTGATGGATATTGCTGTCTCTCTGGCATCCTGTGAGCACCTTTTTCAGCAAACTAAACTTAATAAAAACCTATCTCTGAATGGGTCAGGAACACCTAAACAATTTGGCTTGATTAAGAATCAAAAAGGAAGAATTTGGACATATGTGAATGGTGTTATTGGTAAATTTTTGACCACCAAGCCTGGTCATATGTCACGGCTTTGTGAATTCAAATAGATGAAAAGAATTGCTCTTGTCTTGACATTTTTTTAATTCGGGTTTTGTCAATACTCGGTACTTGTTGGTAGTGGCGGATCAAATAAAAATTTATTTGAATTGTATTTAAATACTTTTTCAGTATTTGTGGGGAAAAGGCATTTATATTTAGATTGTTGCATAGTTTAAGAATTATTTGCATTTGGTTTTTGCATTTTTGGAATCTGGAAGACAATTACTAGTATTTATATTTGTATTTCCAATTATATAGCATCAATAATCGCAAGAAGTATTTGTATTTCAAAAAAATTAGTATTTGATCCATCCCGTTTGTTGGCCACTGGTTGTGTTAGAGCTCTTGCACCCACCTGGACAAAGACCTCTGCACACCATTTTGCCAGGGATGTAAAGATTTAAATTTCTTAAGGACTGATAAGGTTAAAAAAATTTGCCTTTTTTACTTCTCAAAGGTGCTCATCTCTTGTACTCATCCATTCTTAAAGAATGGACGAGTACTAATTGCCACAGTTTTGTGAATTTTCTTTTCTTTGCTGATAATCATTATACTGCTTCTTGCCTTCCATACAAAAGACAGCTTGACAAGTGTGCTTAAAAAAACAAAAAAAAAATCTCTTTCTTTCTTTCAGGTGACTGTGACAAGACATGGAACTGTGTCCAAATTTGGTATGGTGGCCATTTCAGATATCAAGTGTGGAGATTGCCTTTTTCAAGTCCCTCGGGAAAACATCCTGATGCCAGAAACCTGCACTATTGCCAGTTTACTCTCTCGAAGTATGCTATATGTTTCGGTGCCATGACAACCATATGTGCATTTTAGATTAAATGCTTATGGTAGTGGTAAAATTAACCATTTCCACACAGGGAATATTCAGCATTCATTTTACCAAAAAATTTCTGTTGCTGTTGGTTGAAATTTATGAAAATTTTTTTTTTTTTTATTATTATTATTTTTTTCAGAAAAATAGTACACAAGTCTAAATGTTATGGGTCTTTCTAAACTTAATTCCTGGAATTAAAATCATTTACAATGCATTCTTCTATTAATTACAAAACTTATCTGTTTCTATACAGGGAACATTTGGCAATTAGTAGTTACCGTTGGTTGAAAATTATAAAAATTGTTTCTTAAAATAGTTTTTTTTTTTGGGGGGGGGTAAGGAATTCTAAAGTTCACTAAATGTCATGGCTCTTTCTATTATTAATGAGTTTCCTTCCAAATTTTTTTTTTTGATAGTTTGGAAAGTTAACATCTTGATTATATCATTATTTTCCCTTCTAGTTACATTTGCTGCCCTTTTTTTTTCTTTTGTTGTTGAAAGTGAGATGTGGTTTTTGTTATTTGCTAAAGCTCATTGTGATTTTGTAATGCCAATCTGTAGGACCTGATAAAGGATCGTCTTAAGTTTTATATGATTTATACGTTTAAACCAATTTTAGCCATTGATCTGAGAAAACAGTTGTATGGAGATGATAGTTGAGACATTTCTAAAAGGTTTGGATACCACACATGACATCCACATGACAGCCTAGATCTAACGAAGCTGTTTAAGAACATGACGTGAAACCATTATTATTTAGATTAGCTTTCTGGTTTATTCTAGAAACATTTTTTTCTAAATTCCTACAAAAGAACATTTTTTTTATTTTTTTTTTTTTTTTTAATTACAAGGAAAAAAAAAATATTAACCACCTTAGCCTCTTTACTATTATTTATTAATTTACCCATACAGTTAAAATAATAATTTACTATTATTATTGGGTTTTCACATGTTAATCTTTAAGTATATTTTTCCGTTTGTTATATCAATATGTAATTCTAGTGGGGTTCATTTTAATACTTAACAATAAGAAAAAAATTGATCCTCCCCATATATATATATATATATATATATATATATATATATATATATATATATATATATATATATATATATATGATTCAGTAGAATTTTACATTAGTACTAGTTTAACCATGTTGCCAAAAATTGAGATTTTTGTTAATTCCTTACTACAAAATCATTGCTCTGAATGTAATGCCTACTATTTTATGCCACAATGCTAAAAATAGTTGTTGATGAGATGACAGTCAGGGGTTGAATCTTCTCAATAACGTAAATGGAATCTGACATGAAACGGCACATGAAACTGTTGCTTCATTGAATTCTTCCTGATAAGTAATATTGAACCCTTTGGTATTCATCAAAACTTGCTGCATATTTGTGGTGACCAAACAGTGGATATGAGCAAAATCAGGTAGTGGGTAATGTAGTGGCAACTATGTTATGAATGACAGGCCACATTCCAGGTGACCGTGCACATCAATTCACCCATGAAATGGAAAAGGTAACAAAAAATCTTTAACCAGTGACATGAAAATATGATATAACCTGTTTTTTTACATTTGAGTTTTGGATATTTCTAAATCTCTTCCCCCCTCATCCAATTATTATTATTATTATTATTGTTCATAGAGTCCATAATGTTCATTATTATCATACAGTCACTTCTCTGCTTCTTAAATATTTTAGATTAATTCTTGTTATAACAAAAACACTGGCATTTTGTATTCTCAGTTCAAGGGGGATAACTCTAACACAGATGAAAACTTACACGAAATATGAGTGTGTGTGGCATATTGCCCGGATAAACCGTGTGTGTGTGTATATATATATATATATATATGGGTGTGTGTTCTGTTTATACATTTATTTATTAATACACTTATTTGAGTAAATGCTTCTTTTTGTAATAAAACAGTATTAATTACATTTAGCAATCTGAATGTTTGAGAAATTTTGTAGAAAATGTGCTTCTTCCAACAGTAATCAGGTTAGATTCCTGTTGCAGGACACATATTTTCTATGAAAATTCTCGAACATTCAGATCACCAAATGTAATTAATACTGTTTTTATATATATATATATATATATATATATATATATATATATATGGTCAAGTGGTTAACATGTTCACTTTCTTGATATTCCTAGCATGCAGCACCTTTTGGAAAATGTCTGAAGGTTGTGCCATAGTTGACCCTATCCGTTTGAGTGAAATTAGGTAGATAGTGATATTTGGGAGCTGTCAGTGGTTGTGCTAGCACAAAGTAACAAGTCATCGTAACCAAGGGTTTGAACGTAGTGGACTTGTTTAAACTATTTATCATGCTTCTCTCCCAGAAACTGTAAGTAAGGTCCACTCAGCATGGTTGCAGTATAAACCATAGAATGGTTCTGTGGATGCTGAACAAATGCAAATGTGCCTGAGCAAGTGTCTACAACAGGGATCAGGTAGCCACCCTAGTAGACAGGCATTCTCGAATATGAGCAACCAGCCATTTTATATATATATATATATATATATATATATATAGGCAGCAATTGTTCTTTTTAAACATTTATTGTTAAAAACAATGAGCACTTTGTCTATTTAATTTTTTTTTTTTATTGTTTTTTGTGTTTTTTTTAAATAGATATTAAATTAAAATATTGCATTCAATTTAGTTTTCAAAAATAATGATATTTTCAAAAGGCAACTAATGTTACAATCTACTACTTAATTTTTTTTCTCTGTTTCCTCTACCATTATCACCTGGATGACAACTCATATGAGTCATAAGCTGAAGACAACATAACATCACATTTAACCAGTTCATCTATGCACAAAAATAAACATGTTTACAAAAGAATATTTGGATTTTAAAAAAAAAAAAATCATTTAATATGCGCAAAATGTTTATTGCTTTTAAAAAATATATCGACAATTGATGAGAAAATTAAAAAAAAACACGTATTATTTGACCAAGTCTAATTTTCACAGACACACTGATTATCAGTGCTAGATAAATCTATTGAATTCAATTATATATATATATATATATATATATATATATATATATATATATATATATATAATGCTAATTATAAATTTTTTTTTTTTTTTTTTTTTTTCAATTTCAAACTTTTTCTGTTAAAAGAGTGATCATGTGAGACTTGAAATAATTATGACATGTCAACATCAAAATCTAATTGTTCAATTTAATATTTTTGTAATTTGCCATTGTAAAAGGTATGTCTTTAAAAAGAAAAAAAAAATCTTGGGAAAATAAAGTCAACAAATTCCCCAATGGTCATATAATTCAAAATATTAGGCCCTCTTAAAGCATTGTTATATTCAAAACTACTGTTTATTTATTTTTATTTACTTTTTTTATCCACCTATTTTTTTAAATTTTACTTTGAGTCGCTTTATTTGTTTTTACCTTGAGTTACTCTATTTAGTTTTATATTATTGACTCCAAACAAATTTCAAACTTGTTTTATACTAAAGGCATAACATGACAACATTATACTAAAGGCATAACATGACAACATTTAATTGTCTGATATATTTTTTGTTTATATTTATGTAAAAATATTTAGGAAGATAAACTTGATAAATGTTGTCAACAATCAATTAAACTATTGTAATACCATAATTTCTCAAATAATACACTTTTTTTTTTTTTTATTGTAAATTACAGGTGTAGGGGTGCATATTATAAATAGGTTTAAACAAAAATATTTTTTCCGTTATTGATTTATAATAATAAATATGTACTTGTTTTTCTAAAATAAGAAAGATATTATCCCAGTTCTCATTTTAAATCCAACAAGAATAATTGTAACATTTTTTTTGTCAATAAATTTATGTTTATCAGTAACCGTATTTTCTATTTGGAAAAAAAAAAAAAAATCTATAAAAAAAAATATCCTATGGCAACAAAATGCATCAAGAACCAACATACGTCTACTTCTTGCAAATTCTGTTCTGTGTTTACACCAAACATTCAGCAAACAGTCTTTTGTGAGATTCTCATCCATTCACCATTTTTCATGACATTTTACTTTCATACCAGCTGGGCACTAAAACGGTTTTTTAGCAGTTTTCCGTTTAAAAATTACATAAAGGGGGCATCTTCTTACCATCCCCATATGCACCAAGCATGACTGTGAACCAATTCTTCTCATTTCTAGTTGTCTTTATTGAAACAGACTTCACCCCTTTGAATTCCAGAATTTAAAAACAAGGCACATCAAATGTCAAGGATGTTTGGTCAGCATTTTCAATACAGCCTAAAGGATAGTTATGCTTTTTTCTTAGCTGAATAACAAACGCTGAAAATTCAAAAGCTTATCTTTGTAGTCATCAGGCAAACACTGGGCTATGGATGTCCTAATAGATACATCAAATCTCTTCATAAAAAGAAAACACCAGTTTGCTGAAGCTTTAAATGTGTTTCCAGGATACATGGTTTTAATAAGCTCTTTTGCTTTCATCTTTATTTCCACAGTACTTATGGAACTTCCACTTGATCGTCTTTCACAAATTCGACTAAACTTTGTTCCATATCTGGATATTGAGCTTTTCTTCCTCTACCTATAGCTTTGGCACTTGATTTACACTTTTTTAGTTCATTTTTATTCTTTCTCCATAAATCTATGTTAGCCTCATTCAACTCATATTCTCTAACTGCAGGTCTGTTTCCTATTCTTTCTGTTAATTCTATTACTTTTTGTTTAAAATTTGCATTATAACTCGCACATTTTGGTGACATTTTGTCAGCAAAATAAAATGTTATATTTGTCGGGAAACGCAGTAATTTTCAACATTATTTTAGCCATTTAGTTTTGATTTTATTCTTTATGCCAAGGTTGACAAAATGTCTTTGTAATTTTTTTTTTTTTTTTTTTTTTTTTTTGACCAAATTTATCGATTCGTATTATACATAGGGGATAGATATATTTCTTAATTTTTGGATCATTTGTTAGGGTGTGTATTATCTTCAAGAAATTATGGTACTCAAAATTAATGATACTCACTTGTTTAATTTTACTTATTACCTAATATATATGAAACAAAAGTCTTTGATACGATAATTTTGATCGATATAATATTCTAGAATGATGAGGTACCTGCTAGATGTTGAATAAATATCAACTCAAGTTACATAAAACAAGCCATATTTCATTCAGAATGATGCCAGTTGCAGGCAAGAGTCTCTCACCTAGAAGTACCTGTGGTTGGAAGGCTGCAGAATTCATTGGCTGAAAGGTATAAATAAAACAAAACAAAATATTTCTCTAAATAGTTTGCCTTATAATAACTTGACTGGAATTTTCTGAATATTACCATTGCCTTGGATGGAAAAAAAAAAAGGTGACCATTTTGCACTCCTGCTTACAGGTTCCCCTACCATCAGCAGTGACAGTGGCTGGGTGCCCCTTCTTTTAGCATTGATGTATGAATACAACAATCCACAATCTCCTTGGCGGCCTTACCTTGACCTTGTACCTGACCGAGAAGACCTTGACCTACCTATCTGTTGGACGCCGTAAGTATTTGGTTGATGGTAGAAGTTTCTTGCATTTTTCAAAAAAAATTTTGTAACATAATTATTGAATTGGCAAAGAATTTTTTCTTTTCCTTTTTTCTTTTTGATATTGATGGCAAATAGGTCTACTTAATGAAACTAAATGACAACAATGTTGACTGGCTCTGCTGGCCTAGTTTTTTTTTTGGAGGGGGGGAATGGAAATTGCCATTTACTGGAAAGAAATTACTGTAAAGACACTGATAATAATTTCTAATTGGCACCACCATTTTGGTTTCAGTCAGATACACTGCAATGAATTTGGATCAAATATGGATCAGAATCTGACAGAATATGATTCATGTACGTCCTGGAAACTTTGAAAAGTCCTGGGATTTTCTAAATTGGACTGCCCACACATCCTTTTTGTCAATTCATGAAAGTCAAAATGGTAAATCCTTGAAATCTGGATTTTTTTTTTTTTTTTTACAAGTTAAAATTTTCCTTTAAGAAAGGTGTTTTTGTTGTCAGTAATCTTTGCCAATTATTACAAACGGTGGTTTGTTTCCTTGATTAGAACGAGTTTCTGACTTCATAGTTCCTTCTGTATTTTCTTGTCTAAGTGACGAGAAGGCATGTCTTCTAGCTGCTACCCTCACTCAACAAGAAAAGAGGAAAAACAAAGATAAAAGGTGTCAGAGACAAGCAAACTTCTTCATCAAAGATAATTCATATTGAATTTGTAGTTGAAAGGAAAATAATTATTTTACAGTTTGGTTGATGGCAGAAGATTCTTGCGTTTTTCAAAAAGATTTTATAGCATAATTATTGAATCAGTAAAGAATTTTTTCTTTTTTTCTTCTTTCTTTTTCTCCCCTTCTTTCTTTTTCTCCCCTTCTTTCTTTTTCTCCCCTTCTTTCTTTTTCTCCCCTTCTTTCTTTTTCTCCCCTTCTTTCTTTTTTTCATTGATACTTTGAAATTTGTGTACTAGCTTATGTAGCCATAAGTAATACATTTTAGTAGAATCTTGAAAAATTTAATTTTATTTACATGCCAATTTCAAAAGTAAAAAGTCCTTTTGATCTCAAGTCAGCAGTGGGTGAGTTCATGCTGAAAAAATAGATAATTTACATATCACATGTCAATGTAAACTATGTTTGTCTAAATTGTTGCCAAAAATAACAAGTTTGACTTAAAGAAAATGTAGACAGGAAGAATGATAGAATAGAAAATGTGCCTTTGATTTGTCTTAGGGTAGAAAATGCATCTTTGAAAAAATAAGAATGTTATTTTTAAAGCTTGCAGACTAATAATGACTTGCATCTCTAGCTTTTGTTGTGTGAAAAAAAGGATTAAATATATTAAAAAAACTTATTTGGCTTTTATTGCTTGGCTTTAAAAGATCAATCAGGCAACCCTGTCTCTTTACTTTTTTATTTCTGCCATAGATGGCTAGAAAATGTACGAACATGTGAACGACTTGTAGATTAGATGTCATCACATTTGTGAAATTAAAAAAAAAGCAAAAAAAATGTCCTCAGACCAAGTCCTTCTCTGCAGGGCTGTCAAATGTGGATGACGTTTGATTTCCAATGAAACTAGATTTTTTTTTTCTTTTTTGAAAGACATTGAACAATTTCTAATATCAGAGAGATAAATCTTTGCTTCTTTTCCTTACAGATGATCTTTTTAGCATGATCATGAAACTGTTAATCCCTTTCCCTTCCAGGCGTAGATGTGTATATATGTTTTTACTGAAAGTTTCCTTTTTCAGACACAGATGAATAAACACATCCAAAACATAACATTCAAAAACCAGCTAGAAATGTGCTTATACGTTGATCTTGATTCTTTTTATGTCCTTATGAGCTTGAAATGTGTCCAATTGTCAACTGATATGTCTAGTAGAGGTGTTAGCCACCCCTTGGGTACATCAAGGTGCCACAGTTTATTAGTTACAATATTAAAAAAATTTGTCTGAAAATAAAACTTTTCCCCAAAATAATTGGCAGGGAAGGGAGTGAAAAAGATTTGTAAAGGAAGAGAACACTAAAAAGATAATTACATTTTCCGAACTGAATGAATTTGTAAGAATTTTGTCAAACCCAAACATTCATAAAAATGCTGCAAAGATTGAGTGTGGATTTCTGGTAGACAGGACGATGCAAAATTTATCAAATAAAAAGGAAATGTCAGCAAATGATCTGTTTGCATTACAGAATTACAACAAAGGCAATGTTCATCACCATGATTAAGAAACTTCTGGCAAATTCTCCCCTTAGATACCCTCTTGTATGGCTGAAAAGACATGGAATGTTTTTTAGGCAGATCTGTAGGAACCCTAGCAGGAAACATTCATCAATCTAACATGTTTCACATTTATTAAAGCTTCATCAGAGAATGAACTATGGAAGAAAAAAAGAAAGAAAGAAATTCTGGTATTTTTATGCTGCTTGATTTTCATTGTTTAATCATATTTCACGTGCATTTGATTTATTAAACAAATGTTCGTATAATTTATGCCATTTTGAATTCTTTACTGTTCTGAATGATTAACCAATAAAAATCAAACAACACAAAAGTGAAACATGTTAGATTGATAAATGTTTACCAGCCTGAATGTTCAAGAAATTTCATAGAAAATATGCGTTCTCCAAACTGTATTCTTGTACGGAAAACATCATTTGATATGGTTTATTATATAATCATCAAAGATTGTGTGTTTAAAAACAGTAATTTAGACTTTGCTAACTAGACACTTCTCTGTAGCTAAATGGTATAGCACATCAGATCAAATGATGATTTGCATATAGGAATACAGGTTTGATTCCTGTTGGAGAACGCATATTTTCTACAAAATTTCTCAAATGTTCAAAAATAATTAATACTGCTTAATTTAAAAAAAAAAAAAAAACAGCATTTACTTAAATTGTATCTATAAAAATATATAAAGATAAATACGGGGAAAATTGTATGACAAAATGGAAAAAAATTTACTAGTGACATGTTTTGTCCTTCAGGACTTCAACAGACTAAATTTATGTTGATGCACATGCAAACGAACATGGGGTACTGGGGATTTTAGAATTTTTTAATATATATATATATATATATATATATATATATATCAAGCCAAATTCATTTAGAGTCTTTCTTTTTCTTACCATGACTTTTATTAGTAGGTATCCCACACTGTGGTAATAGAAAATCCCTCAGAAATGTTGTACAAGCCACAGTGCAAATCTACTGTAGATGACTTTACGCTTAAGTCACTCTATAGATATTTACATCATAGTGAATTGTTTTCTCCTTTAATCAGAGTAGCATTTTTTTTTTTTTTTTTTTTTATGTCATAATTGTAGTCAGTTTCATTACGGTAAGCAACAAATGCATTTGACATATTGTTCAGTAAAATGTCTCTTGAGAAACCTCAAGGAATCTAAATAAAAAAAATGATATGAACACAAGTTCATATAATTATC